GTTGACTTGATTACGCATAATGTGGGACCCTTGTCAGCTAATGATTAGAGATTATTTCCCACCACTTGAAAAGCAATAACAACCATCAAACTTGAACATAGATTCTCCTTTCTCGATCGTAAATAGCTCTTTGTTGCATCAATTAAGCCTCAGGGATGATAGAGAAAGATAATACATGAATTATTGTCAAAAAACTAAAAAGTTTTAAGAATTACACAAAACACCCTCAATAGTTCAAAATTACATAAAACATCATGAATTTTCAAAAATAAAACAACAAACATAAAATCTGGAAATTTGTAGCAGCCCCCTAAAAATGTTAATATTTGCAATTAACATCCTCAAAGTTTTAAAATTTGTAGAAACACCCTCAAAAATTTAAAATTATAAAAAAACCATAAAATTTAAAAAATATATTGATAGATTAAAATTTATAGCATTGTCTAAATAAAAGTAATTGCATATAATTGTACTCTTACGTTGGAGTATCAAAAATACAGAGGTAGTTGTAGAAACCAAAAAAAAAATCATGACAAGCCATAAAGGATTTAATACCATTAAGCTTTAAAAGTGATATTAATTTGAGGATACTTACAGCTCATATACAAGTTAACTTGAAGGTAGACTTTCTATATTAATTAATTCAGAGAGGCACACCTTCCTCTCGTAGTTGTCAAATTTGATGAGCTCAACAAGTCCTGTCAATGAAACCTATTATGAGGATGATAGTATCTCATATAGATCAAAACTAATGTGAGGGATTGTACCTCATATAAATCAAAACCAATGTGAGGATGACAGCACCTTATGTAAGTTTGAGAGAACATATACCCTCTATTAATCCAATACAAAAACACATGCCTTATCCCTTCATATTAACCAAATTCTCAAACTTGAGGGTGCATGTCAATTTCAATATATTGGTGTTATCATGTGATCATAAACCTTAGCAATAAAATCTAACCCAATGATACTCACCCTACACACCTAATTTCAGGTTGAAGGTATATATGCTCCACATAACACCTATTTTAAGAAAAAAAAAGAAGATAAGCTGATAGATAAATGAGAAGTGAAAGGCAAAGGAAATGATCGTTACGATAAACGAATGCAACAATCTTAATAAGGAAGTTTCAATAAGGAAGTTATAATAACTCCTCCACCAATCTCTTTCAAACACTTGGTGATAACTTCCCCTTGTCTTCTTATAAATTGAGACCTCATTTGCCATTCAGGAGAGAGGATAACAAAAGAACGACAGAAAAGAAAGAGAAAAGATGGAGAAATTGAAAAGAAAGAGAGACTTGGAGTTTGAAACAACAATGACAAGGTCCTCTACATTTTTCATTTTGAAAGGGAGGAGAGCTCCAGAATATTTTTTGGAGACCCAAGATCTCATCTTCTTTCTCTTAAATTTTGTAATACATTAGAAAGATAATAAAATCAATATCTCTTTACATTTGATTTCTAATGTCTATTTAATTCTTTGCTTTCTACTAATCAGTTTCTTTTAATAAGAGTAATTAACAGAAAGAAATAAATTTCTAGAAGCATGCACCTCATAATTTTTTTACAAACAAAGTGATACTAATATGTATCTAAGGAATAGATATTTAGGAATTGCTCTACTCTCCTTGAGATTGGTGATACGACTTGATCAAGAAGAGATTAGCCTACCCAAATATTATTTCTCCTCTAATGGATACTAGCATAACTTTGAATTTTTTTAACCAAATATACACGTCGGGTATTCCGACACTTACAATAGCATTAATTGACAGAAGACTAAATCACTTAAAATTGATAAAAGAATGTAATATAATAGGTTAACATTAATTAATTATATTTTATAAATATTATTCTCTGATGTTAGTAATATTCACAGGGTAAAAAAATATTCTCTGATGTTAATAATATTCACAGGGTAAAAAAATACAATGAGTTACGTATGGAGAAACTATTAAAAGGTTCAGAGATATTCTTCAAAAGGATCTAACTGTTTTTATTTTAAATGGAAAAGTGAACGAAATTAACCCAAAATTCATAAACTTACATAAATCACTTGAATTAATATTAACAAGAGACATATCTGTCAAAGAAGCACCAACTAGTTTCCCATTGGAGAACGTATTAAATAATTTTTTCCAATCAAGAAGTGTTTTTCATAGAAGATACAAGAAATATTAGTAAGTATTATAAAATTTTATAGTTTACTAATTAAATACTAAAGCATTCATAAACTTATTATATAATTAAATATAGATGACATTGCAATAACAACTAACGTGAAGCTATTGATAAACTATTATGAGATATAACAAACCAGACAAGAGGAAGAAAATCACTATAATTGACAAAATGTATCCACATAATACTTACTTAACAAGCCAGACAAAAGGTGGGAAATCACTATAGTGGACAAAATATATACATATGATACTTACTTATCATAACTTAAGAAAAAAGTTTACCAATATACAAATACGTTATTGCACATTCAAGGCAAAAATAACTATCAGTTATAGTAGACTTGAGTTGTGGTTTTACGCTTGCAAAGGCCACAACAAGAAGGTGGACATAGTTGTTAATAACGAGTATCCAAATGATAAATGTTATAGAATCTCTGATGACTTAGGATATTACAAAGGTAACACTGTTTGACACAGTAGAAACTTTTATTAGGTGCACAATACAAGAATTCATTGCAAAGAAAAAATAGGTCAATCCTAACTTAACTTAAATAATGAATTAGAAACATAGCAAAACAATCATATATGTGAAATTAACATTTATTCTCATTAACATTTATTCTCATTCAAATTACTTGTAAAGTTAGATTAGAAGATAAAAAGATAAATGAGCACAGGGAAAGATAATAGCATAAGAAATACAGGTCCACCTTGATGTCACAATTAACGTAGATGATGAAGACAACACTCTAACATTACCTTAGAAAAGGATAAAAGTGAAGAAAGCTTGATCTTGGCTCAATAAAAAATAAAACAGAAAGAATAAAAAGACAACATTTTCTTAATATTTTATAGAATAGCCTAATTTTTTGAGTAAAATTAAGAATATTTTGAAGAGATTTTCATGAATTTTTAAATATTTTTATATACTTATTTTGTGGATTTTTTATCATATAAAATTATAATTGAGTTAGCATTAATATTTAGTATATGGTTTTTAATGAAGTCTATCAATAATTAGGAATAAAATCCATATTCTCTTTTGTGTCATTTTAGCCACTTCTAATCAATCGTCTAGGCTTATTGGCTTTAATTATTCCTCTTGCTATTATAATGCTATTTTTCAAGTATTTTTTACTTTTGCAACACTATACTTTTATAGGTAAAACTTTCTTTCATGTCGATCCAAATAACATGAATATTCAAATTATCTTCACGTTGGTTTCGTGTCAATTCAATTATCAATATGAAACTTAAACTTGGGTGTAGCCCATTCAAACAAACATTGAAGAAGATATATAATCACAATATTAAATTTTAGAGACATAAATGAGTAAAAACTATCAAATTGAAATCAGAGAACAAATTTTAGTAAGGGGGTGTTAGTCAATTGGGACATTTTCATGCAAAAGGGGATAATTGTTAAAGTGGAATAATTTTTCGCTAGTGGGATATTTTAATAGGATAAATAGGAACAATTTTGTGAAGCAGAATATTTTAATAAAATAATGTGAGATAAATTTTTATAATCATGAAATATTTATTTATGTATTTTGAAGATATAAATACTATTTATATATTTTAAACTTACTATTATTGATTGATAATTGCTTACAAGAATGTTCTTTACTATTAAATAACTTTTGGTTAGACTATAAGATATTAACAATTATTATTATAATGATGATCTAATGATGGTGATACCCATAATAGAAAGAAGTAAAGAAAAAATATAAAAAAAAAACAAAATAAATATGAGTTTTAGTTTTATACCACCTAGTTCCAAGCTAAAACTCAGAATAATTTGAGAGACTAGAACTCTCATTTTTGTATAAAAAATAAAAAAATGGGATAATTTTGTACCATTATCCCAATTCTCATTTTGTTAGAGTTCTACTTGACTAACACCGTAAAATCTTATTCTAGTTTTAGTTCTATGTAACTAACACCTTAAAAATTTATCACACAGATTATCCCAGTTCCAAATTTAAGTTCTATATAACTAACCCCCCCTAAAGAAAAAAAATATAGAAATAAAAAAAAACAAAATAAATATGAGTTTTAATTTTTTACCACCTAGTTCCAAGCTAAAACTTAGAATAATTTGATAGACTAGAACTCTCATTTTTGTATAAAAAATAAAAAAAAGTGGGATAATTTTGTACCATTATCCCAATTCTCGTTTTGTTAGAGTTCTACTTGACTAACACCGTAAAATTGATAATTTTGTACCATTATCCCAATTCTCGTTTTGTTAGAGTTCTACTTGACTAACACCGTAAAATTTTATTCTAGTTTTAGTTCTATGTGACTAACTCGTTTTGTTAGAGTTCTACTTGACTAACACCGTAAAATTTTATTCTAGTTTTAGTTCTATGTGACTAATACCTTAAAAATTTATCACACAGATTATCCCAGTTCCAAATTTAAGTTCTAGATGACTAACCCCCCTAAGTAAACAAACTAAAAATAAATAATTATGATATTAACTACGTGCAATGCACGTGCATAAAAACTAGTATATAAATGTTGGTTTTGGTGAAATATTTTAAATTCTAATATGTGTTTCCCTCAAATGACTAGATAAATGGATGGATAAAGTAAAGGGAATAGTTCTTTTTCGTCCAATTATAAATATTTCAAGCGCCTAGTTGAAAGTACTCCGTTTTAATATGCTAATATGCAATTGCGAAAGATTTTAGGTGTCGAAGTGAAAAAAGACCTAAAATCATGTTCGTCCAGCTCTGTTGCATGATTTGAGTGAAAACCCCCCCAAATCACAAACCCTCGAAAAACCCAAAAAAGCCCTAAAACCTCAAAAATGGCGTCCTCAGCTCGCAAAATCCTAACCTCCCTCTCCCTCAACCGCCGCCACGGCCCCCTCCTCCTCTTCCGCAATGCGCTTGCCACTCGCCGCTGCAGATCCAGACCGACAAAGATACGATCTTTATCAAGGGCCCTAAAAGTTCATCATCATCATCGTCGCCGTTCTTGTCTCGGGACGACACGTCGGCGACCGTTCCGATGTCGTTCACCACCGGCTCCGTCATCGGGAAGAGGTTCTATAAGGAGGTGACTACTCGGCTTGCTGATGACGGCAATGGATGGACGGTGATGCTTGATTACAGGACCCTAAAGACTAAGTTGCCGACGCTGGCGCTAGCCAAGGCCATTGCTGCTGAATGGGAGTATCAGGTACTGCATCGTTTTGTTTCTGATATCTTTTATGAGGTGTTGATTTTATTTAACCATCCAAATGAATTGTCAATTGAAGGAATAAAACTCAAAATCAATGAAGAGATCTGGGTTTTCATTTGGACTAGAATCAATGAAATTGCAAAGGGAGAATTGAAGAACTTGGATTCTGAAGGAAATTTGTTAACGATAACTGAATTTGTACACCTTTTTTGCGTAGTTGCCGAGGTAATTCAGTTGAATTTAGAACTAAATTGCTGTGAAGACTTGAGCTTGAATCAAGCCTAATTGTCATACTTTTTTTTGCATCTTTGATTTCAAATAGCCCCAAAAATAAGTTGTACCAGTTTGAAGTAGACAAATTCCTATATACTCATGGGTTAAATCTGAGTTAGAGTTGGAGAAGCTTAACCATTATAGGTGAGTTAGAGATGGATTTGATCTGCAAGTTACTTTGGCATTGTTTTGTTTGCAAGGAAGTGGGAGGTGGCATTTGTAATGCATTGATCAATCTCAGGGCTACCTTGGTACAGAGGATAGTAGTTGCTAGCCAACCAAAGTAACATTTGGACTTTTTTTTTTCCTTATAGCATCCTACGTTCTGCATCCCTCTCATCCCTATCAAACAAGAAACTTATCGGGAAAAAAAATCAAAGAACATAAGGGACCAACACTTACACTCTATGCAGGATAAAGCAGCCTCCATATATAAGCATAAAACGGGAACTCATAGGTAGATTAACACCTCCAATAAATAATTAAAACGATAGTGCAATTTAAAACATGACTGATTAAAAAACATGCACTATTGACTAAGAAGTGCAAAATAATTACAGCATGCAGAATAAGGGGAAGTAAAAAATTCAGGTAGGGCCATGGGTAGACATTTTATTGTTCTTGTTGGAAGGTGATGAAGAAGATGGGGAAAAAAAGACAATTTGTATTACGTTCTACAAAACTGCCTCATGTAAAACTGACAGGCTTTTTTATTTTTTATTTTTGCTGAATCCATTACTTATTTTGATGTGTGGCTTTTGCCCTTTTCTCTGTTACTTTTCAGTCTTTTGTACTTTTTATTCTTTTTTAACGTTTTTTAGTTTTTTTTTGTTCCGATAGGAAAAGGATGGAATCAGACCTTTCACAATGCCTCTTATGAAGCTTGCTTGTACCGCACTAGAAAGAGTCCCACTCACACGAGTAAAAGTTATTGAAAATCTTATGAACAAGTTCCATCAAGATCTAGTGTTTTGTCGCACCCCGGGCGATACAGAAATAACTGAAGGAGTTTTAGGTGAGTAGTTATCATTTATGTTTCATATTCCATTAGCTAGGTTGAATGCGTAACAAAATTATATTGGGAAATAGATAAGGCTTTCAACCTTTTGATATTAGCAATAATACTTTATCATGCAGAAACTAAAGTACCTTTGTTTATTTTTTTATCTGAAATGACTATGATCTCTTAATATGGGTTAGTTAATTTTTGGGGAAACTGAATATTCTAATAGCAAACCAAAGGTAATATACCATGTATCCTGGTACAGCAGTAGCTTTTTGAATCACTGCTTGCCTGTGATGCCTTAAGTCATTGATATGTCACACCGCCATGTTAGTCGTAAGAAAACCAATAAGGGGCTGTTTGGTTACGGTTTTTGTTGAAGGGAAAGCTGAAAAAATGGCAGAAAAGAGGGGTTCATCCCTCGCTTTCCTAGCTGTACTCTGTTTGTTTATAACTTTTAAAAACAATGTAAATAGATGATGTTTTATCCGCGGAGCGGAGGTGTCACTGAAAGTGAAATCCGCCTAAAACAACCCAATTTCAAAGGAAAGCTGACATATAGTCAGAGAAATACAATAAAAATGAAACTTAACTAGTAACCCCATCTTTTTCCCGTATATTTTCTACTATCTCTTGTTTAGACCCATTAATAATCCCTAGTCTTTTGATCTTAATTTGTTAGAGGAGGGGCGCAACAACCAAGAGGGAATGGCCAAGGAAAGGAGGAGAGAGAATGTGAAGTGTGATGGAAAAGGGAAAGAGAGAAAAGAAGGTGGAAGACGTTTCATTTGTGGATGCAGGGGAAAGAAGGGGAAAGAGACCAAGAAAGAGTAAATAAAGGAGAGGGGAGGAGGGGTTTCGATGGAGGATGAGAGAGGAGAGGAGTTGGCTGATGAGGAGACTAGGACAGATGGAGGGAAGTGGAGGTGGCCGTCTATTGTGATCATTATTGGGGCTAACATAGTTGGAGTTTTTTGAGTTTTAATGAAAGGTAGCTTGAGGGCTTTCGGATATGTCTAAATACAAATCTTTGAAGATGGTGTTGGCAATGCGGGGGGAAATAGTACCTTTAAGATTAAGCTTGGGTTCGAATAATTAGTCAATTAAGTTAGCTTAATTGGTATATGCAAGTACATATGTAATATATTAACAGTGCACGTAAAAGGATCCTTTTATGAGGTGAACTTACCTATGTAATGTGATTTTTTAATGGGGTCTACATAATACCACTTTCCTAGTATACATTATGTTAGTGCAACATTTTCATGTAAGATTCCAAATGGAATCCATACCAAACGATGAAAGCACACGAGAATTGTGATGTGGATGACCACTTTCCATTTTGTGTCATAAATACCCAACTCTCCCAATTCCAACCAAAGGGGCCCTAAGGATAACCAGTTTATGAAAGCTTGTGTACTTGATTGAGCATGTTTACGGTGTACAGCCATCATGTTCCTGCATATTTATCTTTTATTTGCCTAGGTATATACAGCATAACTTAAATATTACCGTCTTGGCTTATAGAGTGTTCCACTGATTCATTGATACACAACTCTGTCATATGAAGTATCATTTTCATATTTCCAAACATTAGCACTAGTTAGTTGATACTACTAGTCACGGGCATATTATTTTTATAAGCTTGTTAGCTTTATTATTTTATCATATTTTCTTGTCTAGGTCCATTCCCTCAATCAGGCAACTATTTTGATTTCTTTATTTCTAATTTTATTCATTTTCTTAAATTTATTTAAATCTACTTAACCTGCAGCGATGAATTGAATTCTGTACCTTGAACTCAATAAAAACCAATTATTCTGTGAGTTCTAGTTTGGTTTTCGGACTACGTTAGTGTGTCCTTATTTTCTGTTTGATGTGGCTCTTAATATTATGGCTTCCATGCTAGAACGTTATTTGTCTTCTTAGAAATGGTTTTACGTAATCCTTGTTAAGTCTGGTTCCAATTCAATTCTAATCTTAAATATGCGTGGGACATATGCGTAATAGATTGTTTTGCAACTAATATCCTTAACAAAACTAACTACATGAACTATGTAAGCTGCAGTTTACTCTATAAAATTGTTCTAAGACTTCTTCCATGACATGCTGCATTTTTAGTTACCCTAGAATCATCAACACCCCAATTTTTGGCACTTGATTACATAAATCCGTTTGCTTTTATTTGGCTTTATTTATCACCTCAAACTTTGCTACCACCTAGCAAATGCTTTTCAATTCCTCAATCCAGGTTCATGTTTGTTTACTAGTCCTTGTGGCCCTCAAACTTCTTATGATGTGCTTCTTTCTTGTCCATTTTCATTTGATTCTCAATCCATTATATTGTAGCTTCTCTCTTTATTCCTACAGCTCTCTTTTAAAGCCTCCCAATCTACTATTGCCACTCGTTGAATTGAACCAGCTTTGCTTAGTAGACTATTAATTGACACATTGTAGTAGGTTACATGATTGATATGTCAGTGGGTCAAACCCTCCTAAGCATCAAAGAGAATTCCCACTACAAAGAATGATAAGACACCTCCATCTGTATCTTTTGTTCATTGCCGGTGATTCAATTGCGTTGACAGGTCAGAGACATTTTATAAATGTAAATGCCTATACCTGTGATGCATGTCGACTCCAAACAACGGGGAAGTGAAGGGGAGTTTACTCCCTCACAATGTTTCCCTAAGTGACATGCCGTGGGATATCCAAATATGTGTTAACACGTGTCGAACTATGTGCACTTGTTGATATCAAGGTTTTAAATGTCGGCCGACATGCCCGACATGTCGGCTGACATATCGGTTTGAGGGCTTGACCGACACGACATGGACGTTTTCAACCCGTATGTCGGTTTTCAGGGCCAAATCGGAAATATCAGGCTCATATCAGGCATATCAGCCTATTTTTTAGCTTTGAAAAATCGGCCGATATGATATTTTTTTTAAGATCTGTTTTTTGTTATCGGGTTTACGTTTAGTGATAAATACTCAAACCCGTTTGACCCGTTCTCATGTTTAAGGATTTCTTATGAACCCGATAGAAAGAATTTATGAACCCAAATCCATATATTATTTACTTTTTTATATGTTTAGTTTATAGAATTTATAAAGTATGCTTATATTGAATTTATGAATACTTAGATTACATTTAGGACATGATATTATACATATGCGCACTACCCGATATGGCAATCCGATATTTAGTCAATGTACCCCGATATATCCCCGATTTTCGCTATCCGACATGGATTTCAACCATCCGACATGAACCCGACATCCGACATTTAAAACCTTGGTTGATATTAGTTTAGTTGCCATGTTAGATTTAATTAGGGGAGCCATGTTCTCAATTTCATCGGTGTCTTATTACAGTTAAAAGCATTTACACTAGTGTCATTCGAATTGGTGAGTTAGTAATTAGTATTCATCATGACGTACAATCCTTATGCCCATTTGGACCAAATATAAATTGAATGCAAACTTTAAGCTGATGTGTCATTGATCGCAAGTCTTATGATGCTGAGGATCCTAAGAAGCCAGTGAGTCCTGATTGCTTCATCTAGAGAGATTAAAGACTTAGAATCGAGCCACTTGATTTTTCATCAGTTCGTCTTTTGGATGACACGCAAATTATATTCCCTTTAGAAGTCATGCCTACGATAGAATACATACCTACAAGTAGAGATCCTAATTGTGAAAATCTTACATAATTCCTGAAGGGCTAGTGTTATTGAGTGTTTGATGTTGTCTCATAATCTCTCATGCTTAATTTTTGTTGTATTAAAGTTGTTATGAACAATTCTTGTGAAGTTCTCCACTATTGGTTTCCCCGATGCTTTTAACTACTTTTAAGAGCAACAAAATGATCGTTCGTCTTTTCAACTTATGATACTCGATCCTGACTTTTTTGACACCTCCCTACATTGTCATGATTTTTGCAGAAAAGCAAAAGGAGAAAATTGACCCAATACTTGATTGGGTGCAATCTGAATTCGGGTATAAGCCACAAGTACATTATAGCTTATTTGGTACCAAGCAAGAAGAAGGCCTTGTTAAGGCTGTAGAAGACTGTCTTAAGAAAACCAATGACTGTGAATTAGCAGCAATTGACGCTATGACTGCTGCCGCACATTCTTTGGTCATCCCTCTTGGTATATTCCGTGGGAAGCTGGGAATCGAGGAGGCTATTGAATTAATTCGTCTTGAAGAAGATTTACAGGTTTCCATCGTGCTTATGTTTTTGGGTGAATTTCACAGAACTCCCTCGCAGCTTTGGGTGTTTTGCACAAAATTGTAGATAACCCCTTTGAATTTGTCTACTTAAGTATCATGAAAGAAAACAGCGGAATTTCCCTGTGTTCAGGAGGTTTAGTATAATGTCGAAGTTTGGGGGGGTTTCAATGATTAATAAAGTTTAGGGGGTTTTGTGCAAAAAACCCAAAAAAATCAGAGGCGGTTTTATGCATTTTACCCTAAAAATTTCTACCTTTTTGCATGCTATGTCGGTTACTCATGTTAATTTTGGTTTTCAGGTTGATGGATGGGGTTTAGTTGAAGGTGGTCATGATGTTGAAATTGCTGACCTTAAGGTGCAAGTATCGTCTGCTGCTGTGTTCCTAGGACTCTCATGCAGACAATAAGCTTTCATTTCCCTCCCATAATTTTTGTTAGAAGATAAAGCTCATTCTAGCTACATATGAGAGATCATCTGGGTCATGCTTCTTTAGTTATATAAATCAATGTTTGTGCTCGAGATTAAATCTCGTTTGTTCCTGTATTTCAAATTTAATTTGAGATCAGTCACAAATAAGCAGAATTTCAGCTGTGCTACACACCATGTGGTTGCTTTAGTTACTTTTTGAACTAGAATTTGACAGCTTTTAAAATTTTAGGATTAAAGGTAAATTAAGTTTTTGTACAAGGGTTCGGAATAATTTCCCCCTTTGTGGGTAATGGCACACATATCCGACCCAAATTTACTTGTATAATTTCCGCATAATCTCGGTTTGAAGGGGGAGACGGAACTCAGCTTTAGCTTTAACACTGGGTTGTGCTTCTCTGTTCAACTTAAAATCGTCATGCAACATTAAATATCTCCTTTCAAATGCATTACATACCATACAGTTGCTTACTTGCTGTAGTTAGTTACCTTTGGAACTAAAATTTTTTGGACTTTGGAATAATTTTCCCGTGTGAATATATACGTCTTACCTATGGACCCGAAGCAATTATCCCTGGCCTTCCCTTGTGTGCGTGTGTGTTTTGGATGGCTATCCTTTCTCCCAATCCTCCCCATCCTCTCTTCCTCCTCCAGCACCACCTCCTAATCGAAGAGCCTTAATGCTTTTCTTTACAAATTCCACCCATCGCAGCAAATTCAAAACTTACCCGCTCATCCTCTCCATCTCCAGCCCCTCTTGTAACCGAAGAAGAAGGCGATTCTCCGGCGCTTTCTTCTTCGCCTCCAGCAGCGGCGGTGGGGTGCAGGACCTGCGGACGAGAGGAGATAGAGAAGGGATGCAACGGCGAGGGGAGGATACAAGGAGGGATAGCCACGGTTCCAGGTTTCGGGTGGTGGCCCATTAAGGCCTACAGGCCGTGCCCGGGGTTCACGGCGTCTGGCGGGAGGTACAGGCGCCGTGGCCAGAGTATGGATGAAGTTGCATCCGGACGAAAGAGAGATGTTTCTTCGAAGAGCAGCGAGGGAGAGGGTGGGAGTAAATCAAGCAAGAAGAGGGAAAAGAAGTAGGATTCCTGTTGTGTTTTTGCTTATGAACTGTAAAATCCTTTACTAGCTGGAACTGGCTCTAGATGGCAGGGATAAGCGTTAGCTTCTGCTCTCACGCATCAATTAGATACAACTAAGCATCTCATCACCCTGAGATGTATGTTATGCAATTTTGAGCAGGCACAACGAAATTCAATCCAACATATATACAGCAACATCAGAATCATTTATCCAGATTTTTATTGAGGATTATCTTCCGTTTTTTAAGTCAAACATCATCATATCTTTTAATTACTTTTCAGCAATATTCTCTTAGGTCTACCTTTGATTCCTCGTCATTCCATTAATTATAGTCTTATTACATCTTTTGCCTAGTATATTCCCGCACACAACCAAAAACATTTCAATCAATTCTCTCTCATTTTATGCTTTATTATTGAAGTACCATATAATGTTGCATAGATGCACACGTTTCTTGTTTCATCTATGTGTATGTGAATTTCCGTTGTCGCATTCTCATTTTCTGCTATACTCATTTTATTTCTGTATGCTTTTTTAGTTGTCCGACATTTTGCTCCATAAAACTGTTTGCACGCACTGAGTGAGCCTAGGTTCAGAATGGTTAGGTTTAACTCAATATTCTGCAGAGTATTACGTGTTCAACCTCTGCTTGTTAGTAATCGAAGGGGCTTGAGCAAGCTTCCAGTTGTAAAGAAATTTTCGTTGGGTTGAAAATTCTACTATTTTTCCTTGTTTTAAAATGTATGTTCTAGTTACGTAGTATGATATGAGAATAGAGAGAGTAGTTAGCAAAGCAAATCAAAAGGAATGAAAAAATAATACAATTTATCATATTCTCTTGCCATCATGGAAGTTTTTCCTAATTCTTCTGGGTATGTTTGGTGAATTTGGATCTTCTCCACTAAAAAAAAAAGTAGTGGAGAGACCACTACTTTTTAATATTAATTGTTGATTATCTAGCCATTGATTGTGATGTATTCTAAATCTAAAACTCATTGTTGCCTTGTGTATTATACTCATTGGTAATTTTCACTTAAAGAAAAAAAAATCATAATCGCCCACTACATAATAGATAATTGTAATTAAGTAGTGGTCTCTCTACTACTTTTTTGGTAGATAGAGCCTCTACCAGAAGTATTGTTTTCCCCTCTGTCTCTTTAACTTTTACAGGGTCTATTTGCCAAAAAATAGTTTTATCTTTCTTCAAGGATAAAAGTGTCAAAATTTTAATAGAGGGACTACCTGTCAAAATCAAACTACAACAATAATTAGTTCGAAGGCGCATAGTGCCTACGGGCAATTAAGACTTTTTATATTATGGATTGCGTCTATATGTTGCATGTGCTATTGGTCTGAAGAATAAGACAAAGTCGAGTAGGAATCCTATCAAAGCTTCTTACAAGGTGCGAGATGTTCTAAACAAAGCAATAGATTAAGTATTGACAGTTCAGTCCTTTTTAAAAGGGTTTTGCTATTTATCACGCGGGATGGGCGCACATCCCATCTCGCGTGAGAGAGGTAGGGGGTGAGACCCAAGTTGAGAGAGGTAGGGGGTGAGACCCACTTGGGCCCCCACCCCTTACCTGTCTCACGCGAGATGGGCTATGCGCCCATCTCGCGTGACAAATAGCATTTTCGTTTTTAAAACTCCCTATTTGGCTGAAAGAAACTCGCACGTTCGGATTGGATTTCTACTCAAAAAGTATAGACGTCAAAGTTCAAGATGTAATATCCAATAATTTTACTTGGACTTGGTGTTTGTAATAGTTTCTTGATTTTTTTTAAAATAATGTGTATTGCATCCATAACATTTTGAGTTCTAACGTTATAAAGAAAACAGAAATTTATAAAGTGAGGAAATGCAAACCACTCATTTGGTAAAATGATCAATTCCGACATGTACAAACCTTAGAAATTTATAAAGAGAGATTACGTGAAGATGATCCGATAATTAGTTTCAACACAGTTCCTTACATGGTACTCAATAACTTATTAGGCTGTTTTCAGATTCAATAATCAAACCTAGTTCTTTATTGGAATACAAATATGAAATTTTAACCTGAAGTATTTAACAAATTAAGGGCAAGTCGGGTAATTTTTTATGGCTAAAATACGAGATTGACATTTTAAATGGAACCTAAATAACAATAAAGCATTTTAAATAGCCCCGACTACAATAAGACCTTATAATTGTTCAAAAGAGACAACAAGGCTCATATTTTCATTATAGATCATTCGCTCCGGCCAACTTCCTTCACGTGCTCGACGCATGATTACTTAGTTGTTGATGTGAGCTAAGTTGGACAATTATTCATGACATGCCATAGGTTAAGACGGGAGAAATAACTAACCCTAAAATCTTGTCGTCCCCAAAAATGCCCGAATTCCCTCATTTTTTTAAAAAGCTCGAAAGAGAGAGAGAGAGAGAGAGAGAGAGAGAGAGAGAGTAGTTAATAGAGGAGTTTAGTAAGGAATCTCTCGGGTGAGAGGGGAGAATCTTCCGTTGAGAACATCTGGAGTACGACGCCGAAGTCGAAGTCAAGCGAATGTTAGTTTTCTGTCAGATATTTGAGAATTCTGCTTGCATGAGTTTTGTTTTGGAGATAGATGGTTACGTAGTGATTATCCTTAGATATTGCAATATATAGCCCTAATTTGGGTCATTAATTGTTCTATTTTTGTGAATGAGTTAAAATTTATTGGATTTGGTTGCGTGTTGACTGTAATTGATATTGTTTAACTGTTTTTTGTTAAATTATGCAGATGTCTATGAATATCATGATTAAAATTAGATTCGATTTGATCCAGGAGTGGAGTATGTTGGTAAGACATTTCATGTTGAATTTTGTGATGCACATGACGTTTCAATAGAATATTTGAAAGATATGGTAGAACAGTATGGTTATAAGAATGTGAGTTCTTTGTATTATGTTATACCTAGCGCAGGGTTGGAAAGTGGGGGTTTGAAGACTCTAATTTTAGACTTAGACCTTGGAGAATTGATTGAAGTTGCACTTAGGCATAAAGTGATTGAGATATATACAAATCATAGTATTGACATACTAGTAGAAGTTGATGTCCCCTGCAAGCAGCTCCTCAAGATGTTCAATCGATACCTAAGCTCAAAACACAGAAGTAGTTAGCCACAAAAGAGTAGTACCAACAAGAGGGAGAAAGAAATTAACCCCGAAAAGAAGAAGAGATCTAGTACAGAGCCAAGGCAGTGGTGTAACCCCTACTATGCCAAATACATCACCACTTCCTATACCAACAAATGTAAACCCTGTTATGCCAAATCCATCACTAGTTCCTATACCAACAAATGCAAATACTTCTAGTGATGATGATGATTCAGTGGAAGATGAAACTAATAAAATTGATCCCACTGAGGCATTAGATGATGATGATGCTGAAGATCTTGAATTGGTGGATGAGTTTAATGCAAAGAACAATAGAAAAAAAAAGGAAAGCATGTCATGGAGACTGATGATGGTGTTAATAAGAGTAAAGAAAGTGAGATTGATGCAAGACTAGAGGAGGCCACTGATAGAAGAGTAAAGAAAAGAGATGGATATGACAGTAATGACTCGGTAGAATCTCAAGGTAGTCAAACACTAGAAGCATTAGGTTGTGAGGATGAGGAGTTATATGAAATAAGGCCTAAGAATAAGGGGATTTTGAATGAACTAATGGCAATGAATTGTAGAATAGCCTTGAATGCTGGAGCAAGGTTGATGGATAACATTGAAGAACCCCATACTGATGTTGATGTTTCCTCAAGCCAAACACACCCAAATGTGCCAGCTAGTGCAACCAATGAAGCTAACATTAGGTCAAGCCCCAATAGTAAAGAAGTGGAGCACAACGTGGCAGATGCAACCAATCAGCTTGACACACAAGATGAAATGTCAGAAGATAAGTTCAACGGTTTCAATATAGGGGGTTCAAGCAGTAGAGGTACAGTACCTGAATCTATAAAGTGGCCTGATTATTTTACTTCTTATGAGGGAAGATATCAAAGTGAACAGAGAGATAGTGATGATGAGGGACCCTTGATTGATAGTGATCCTGAAGAACCCCTTG